CATGCGTACTATGTACCCCCCCCCTCGACAGCAAAATTTTTGGGAAAAAGTAGGGAAGTTTTCGGGAAATTTTGGAAAAAGTGGCAGGAAGTTGGGGAAAATCTGAGAATTGGTAGATTGGTAGAAGGGGGTCGTATTGTCTCGCGGCTTTTCCTGTTTCACATGTGCTATTTATCCCCTCTCCCCCCCCCTCGCCGGATAGGGGTCGTACCAACCCCCAAAAGGAAGGGATCGTACAGACTCGACTAAAATCCCAACCAATGATGTGCCTTGTCCCCACTGCTCTCCGCTCGGTAGCAGCTCTTCAGTGGGAAGAAATTGGAGGATTAGAAACCAGCAGCAAAATCGGTAAGATATGGAGAGATGAGGAGGGGGAGTCGTGTTTCTCAGAAATTTTCCCCAGATGCAGGAAATAAGGAAAGGAAATCTTATGTGCGACGCAAACCCTCTACGCTAGCTTTACCCTGCGATTCAATCGCTCCAATCACTTGAGTATCTGAAACAGAGGGCGTTTTGCAGGCACTGAACTTCGCAGCGTGATCTGGTTCCGATGTTTGTTTGCTGTTCTTCTTAGTTTTTATTGGCCTCGTCATTAACCCACGGATTGACGGCAGAACCAGTTTTTTTCGATCATAATTCCCCGTGACGTATCAATGACCGTATCTGTTTGTCTTTCCGTTCAATTAGGGAAGGGTCTGGTGCGGAAATGAATCATTTGCTGGAAAGTGGTTAATCGAGAGCTGTGACTCATAAGAATAACTGGTTAGTAGCAGTGCAACTAGCTTTGTAATGTGGTGAAGAAGAATAGCCGAGTGTCTGTCGAACATTTCTTACTCATCGATGACTCGCCGTCACAAAACTGACCGTGAGGGATCTAAGCAGAACAATTCTTGTCGCTGGAGAGAATTTTTCCGAAATAGCAAACCCTCCCCCCTCCAGAATTTCCTCAAATCCAGCCCGTAACCCCTTCTCCATCCTCCATGCTAGTAATGCTCTCTTGCAGACCTTTCCCAACTTCCTTCCACTCTCTTCAAAATTTTCCAGAACCTTCACAGTTTTTCCCCAAAACATTTTGTCGTCTAATGTGAGGGAAGCGGTCGTGCGGTCGTTGGCCGAAGTTGGGCGCGGGGCGAGGTATACAGCACAACACAAACGGGAGAAACTACGAAAAGTTATACAACCGGAAAAAAAGCTTCTCCACACGGAAAAATCTTCAACGCCAGTGTGGTCAAAGAAGTCTATGCAGCGACGATCCCGCCCCGTGCCTTGCTCGTATTATTTCCTGATTAGCTGATGTAGTGTTTTTGAGTCGAATCACTGCTAATGCTGATGCCGCGCTTCTGAGGTTATGCTCGCTGCATATGGACCTCCTGCCTCCTTGCACCTGTGTCTTCTCTTTCCGGGCTCCTCACTGAGGGTAATACTTGAACCGGCCCTTGTAAAGCTCACTGCGTTGGGCCATAAGGTTTTCAAATACGGCTTCTTTGGTAAGGTGGAAGTGGGAGGGGAAGCAAAGTTGCTAGTTTGAGTCCTGTCAAGGCTTCGAAAAAAACCCAGCATGCTTGTTCTAACGAGGGGATTGGAAGTTATTTGTATCTTTCGTATTTTTTCTATTCTTTTTTTTCTTTTCAACAAAACTCTCGTAATTACCATAAATCAATTCAACATGATAAAAACACCACCAGCCTGACAGCTGAAAACTTGTTGTTATTGACGAGTACACTAAAATAAAACATGCTGGTGTATGATGGCATAGCAGAGGAAATAAACCCAATGAGATCTGAAGGCACATGCGGGGCAGGGCCCAACCTGCTGATGGGGAAATTTCTGTTGCAAAATACGACCCTCGCTTTCGGGATTTCCTCCTACATTTCGTACCCCCCCTTTCCTCCTCATGTCGTACCCCCCCCTCCCCATCCCTTCCTTAGCCTACACTCTTCCTGAATTTTCTCTGTTTTCGATACCAGTTCGTTGTTCGTTCCTCCGGCGATCAAATACGACCCACTTCGCTGGCGATCCCCAACGTGCTGCGGGCGGAGGTTGAAGAGGGGCCCAGCAGCAACCAAGAAGTCAGAAAGAAAATAAAGTGGAGGGGGGGGGAATTCTTAGTGGACATTCGAATGGTTCCCTCATATTCTTATTTCTTATCTCAGTTTGGAGAGTTTCAAAACAATATGGCCGACAGAAAGGTTTGAATCCGTAACCAAACGCTTGCCGTGTGTCTCTTATGAATAAAGCAGCAGTCAACGCTGATTGCATGGGCGAGGACAGCTACCCATCATGCCCCTCTCAATGGAGTGGTTTCCTCTTCAACGTTATGAAAACAACTGAAACAATGGGGAAAAGCTCTGGGTTCACTGTCTCCGCCCTCTCGATCAGCGTGGACTGCACCTTCAACTGATTTGAAATGATAAGTGAAATTGAGCAATTATTTTGGCTCGCAAAAGCCTGCTTACTTGATAGTATCCTCTGTGATAGCTTCAAAAAAGAGTTATCACATCGGGTTACCTTAATTGATCCGTTCGTGACGCGCCACGCATTCCACCTCCACTGTAAGTCCGTATGAGTACCCGAGCATTGCTATGTAAGGACTTGAGGAAAAGGATCATATATGGATTAATGAATGAAAAAAGCGATGCCCTTCTTTTTATGGGTCAGCGCCCTCTATCTATCATTTCGTGCTTCGTAAGTAACAGTCATTAGTGTTAATCCTGATTCTTTCGTTGACGCTATTCGGTTTGGGAGGGGCATTTGGCACTTTTGCTAGTTCCTTTCACTGGTTCATGTATGACTAACAGGTCTCACTTTGCTGAGACCTGTAAACTCTCGTGAAGCTGAAATATACGCGAGTGTACTCTTTTGGTTACATAGGTCTTCACAAGGTGGCCTAAACAAACTTTGCTGAGGTGCTATTTCGTGCCCTCTTCAAGCTAAACTGCGCTTAGCCCTTCGAGGTAGAAGTGAGGACTGAAGCAGAAATGTTCATATCCATTGCTGGACTTGATTGTCCTAAAGTCTTTTGAATGCCTCGTCCAGCTTTATTACTGCCAGTCTTTCTGATCATGATTCTGATTTATGACGGTTATATCAGTGCCTTGTCAGTACTGAAATTCTATAGTTTGGTTTTTCAGGTGCCGATCGTAGCCCTGGGTAATATGCGGGATTTGTCGAATCGACGAGTTGACAGCGATTTCGCGTACAGTTGGGCGGCACGGGAACGAGGTGAGCTTTAAATGTTTTCCGAGAAGTTCCACTAGAGGGTATTTTTCTTCTCATTGAAAGTTCCGCTTGTGAAGAAGATCTCATAAGATGCTTGTAATGCCTTGTTTTGTGCAACTTATTTCCCCATTCGGGAGCAAAATCCTTGCAACTACGGTTTGGTCACACAAGTTTCTTGAAGATCACATAACGACGTCCATAAGTTATGCATAATCACGCTACTTAAAAAGAAAACTCGTTTTCTGGAGCTTTTAATGACCACTTGAAGGCCATGTTTTGCTGAAGTAGTCCTATAGTGGCACCAAATAGGTGCAAGGAATATGAAGCGTCTTTTGGAGGCGGAATGGGACAAGGGAAGGGATTTAGTTTGAACTTCCATGGAAAATAAGTGAAATATCTGGATTTCTGATATTTATGAGGTCAACTTGTTCCAGAATTAATTGTTATACCGCTCACGCTTCGCTGACGCATTTCCTTATGACTGCGACAAGATAGAGGGGGGGGGAGAGGGAGAAGGTCAATTGGAAGCTAGACCAGTTTTGCTCGTCTGCGCCCTCTCACAGAGGTAGTGTTCGCCCGTTCCAACAACCGTAGCTCTAGTGTGTTATAGACATGTAAATGGACTCGTACTAGCCTCGCACACTGCTCCCACCCCTATACCCTAGCACCCGCATCCAAGCATACTATATGATGAAAGAGGAATTTATGTAAGCCAAGGAAAATGATTTTAAAATCATATTTTCAGTAAAATTGTTCGAAGTGTCAGCCAAAGACCGGAACAGTTTGGTGGATTTTGTGCAATACCTTGGACAACGGCATTTTCATCCCATAAGTAAGTTCGCAATGGGCGTTCCGGGTTATTCTTTTGTAATTGCCATGTCCACATGAAGAGCGATGAAACAATGGATGAGTCGAGTTGTATCGATTGATTTATCAGTCGGTCGCACCGCGACCGCGCTCGTCCGGGACGCGGGGCACAGGACGATGGGAATCGATTGCTCTGTCAATAGGACGCGCCGCGACCGTGCGTCCCCAGAGGGGAGGGCGGAACACAGAACAAATGGGAATTGATTAGTCTATCAATAGGTCGCATGGCGACCGTGTACGTCCTGTGTGCGTAAAGCACATAACGTAGGATATCCATCGACCTAACAGTCGGTCATGCCGCGTCCTTGCACGTTTTGTTGTGCGGATCACTCTACTTTAGGCTATATTGTCTTGTCAATCGGTCGCGCCGCGACCGCGCGCGTCTTGGGGGTGCAGAACACGCAACACATGAGATATTGGTCAATTTACAAGTTCGACGCGCCGCGACCGCGCGTCGTAGTCTTACGGAACACATTATATAGGAATCGATTAGCAAAATTTGTTAGGATCTAGTGATAATTATACTTGTTCAAATGCTGATTATTTCAGAAGAGTCAAAGTTCTCTTTGTCAAAGAAGTTGAAGTCCGAGAAATCTAATGCTGCCATACTGATGGATTTTTAATGTTCAGTTTTCTGCTGATTTTGCTTTTAATGATTTCATTGCCAATATTACGTTGTAATTTCACTGTGAAATTCGTCGATACGTGCCGTACCCTATTGATTGATTGTTTTCGTTCAATCATCATTGATCTACAGGTATTCTTATACGATCAGGTCACCTGCATGCTTATTATATGATGTGTACTTTACTAAATCTATTCATAATAGTAAAACGTCGTTCATAATAGTATTATGATTGTTTTCTTTAAAAGAAAATATGTTTATTGTGATGTATTAATAAATGGTTATAAATAATTACAAGGAGTTGTTCTAAGCCCTTTTGGGGAGGTACGAATACTTCTGTTCTGTTTAGTCTGCCAAAAACAGATCTACAGCTTCGAGTCCGTAAGTTCTACTGTTGTATACACTAAATCAAGAGCTACAGTCCTCATCATTGCGGACCGGTGGGGCGTGTCAGCCAGAAGGAGTGCGCACACTGTTGAAGCCGTTCTCAGCCTTTTGTTGCAACGCGTATGCGACAAAAAGTGGTAGAAAACGAGTAATACGAAGGATATTATACAGTAATGCACTTGTTCGCTTCAAAAACTGGTGCAGAACGACTTTGCCAAACCGCACCAAATGCAGCCGCACTGCCACGCCCCACCGGTCCACAATGATGAAGACTGTATGTAGTAGTGTTGGAGAGCGCTGACTGCTCAAATCGCTGTTGCAGACGGAATACATGACTCCCCAGCATGCGGTCGCGACGCGGTCAGCTTAACATGTTTATTGAAGGTGCCGCTGCGATACGTAGCGGTTGAGCATGCTGACCAACGATGGTCTTTCTTACCACCAGGCTTCTGCACTTTCGGATTGCAGCGATTTAGAAGGAACCCTATTTCGACCGCATCCAACCGTTCGTCTCATTTTGCTTCACTGTCGCACTAATCAGAGCCTCTAAATAAACTTTGGGCGTGGTATGGGGTGCTGGGCGGGGGCATATCCTTCGTCATGAGCGGGTGGCGTCCTAATCGTTCATCGTAGCAGCCAACCCCTTAGTGAAGAAAAATCAGAAAGAAATCATAGGAAAGGCTCTATATAGAACCCCTTGCTTAACTGAGGTTGTACGTGCTCAAGGCGAAGAGAAGGTGCGGTCGCACGAGTTCTCACTTGTTGATATCAGCTGTTTTCCCTTATCACCTCACTCTCACCACTCGACGTGGAGAGAAGCAGCAGCGAAACAACCGCACCATCAGGTAACCATTAGAAATGAATGGAGGGCGGTGCCAATGATTGTAGGTTGGGCCAATGAGAAGAACGACGGCATCGAGCCTCCTCACTCGTTTTTGCGCCGCGAAAGTGGTGTTGTTGCCTCTGCCTGCTCACGAAGAGAGAGGAAAATCTCAACCGAACGCGGACGCTGCCTTTCAATAAGTAACCAAATGTTCTGGGATGCCTCGATGTCTTCTGATAGATATAGCGTGGAAACTAGGAGTCGAAGAGAGAGAAACATCATTTTGTGACATTTTTGTGGCACTTGTACCCAGGGCACATTGTTGTTGGGGATTCCCCAACAGGGGGTCGTATTTGGCCGATGGGGGGAGGAGGTCGTAATGTTAGTAACGAGCAGCGCAAAGGTGTCAGTATGCTGAGCCCTGTATAGCGAAACTGGCTTTGTAGAGAACCCGGATATGTAAAAAATAGCACAAAATGTTCATCGATTGAACTACTCAAAAATTAGCTGGAAATATTATTAAAGGCACAGTTCGCGACCGCAAATTGCGGGAAACGGAACTCAAATAGGCACAAAAAAGTGCTAAGTATCTGATTAGCGGAGAAAAGCAGCAGAAAAAGCAGTCCGAAATGTTATAGAGAAAGATAACATAGTGGCTACTAGCTAGTAGCTAGCAGCCGGTGAGGGTCGGCATGGGCCTAAGGGGTGTCCATGGGCCTAATTAGCCAGCTTCTAGCGGAGTTCTTGCCGTTTTTCACATTTTGAAAGTAGCGCAGCCTCAAAAATCGCCTTCCGGATCGTCCGACACATTTGAGAGGTCATAGCCTTATTTTTTCGCGGAATGTGCCTTTAAGTTGACGAAATTTCGTCAGTACGTACACTCGAAATCCCTGAGACAGGGTACAGCATCTTGTATCAAACCACGATAGAGGGTCGTAATTTTGGCTCTGGGGGGGGGGGGGGTCGGTTATTTTGTAAAACAAATTCTATTTTGATAGAATTGATTTTTTTCTTGTGGAGAAGGGGAGAGGGAGAGTCTACTGCATATCCAGTTTCCTCTGGTTTTATATGCACTATATGCATTCTATACGCCCGTGGTATATACGTTGCATAGTTATTGTATACTGTTATTGTATACCCGCTCGACAACTTTTCGCCGCGTTAACCTCATATACTACTATATACGATCGCTCGTCGTCTCGGCGAAAAGCCGTCGGAGGGGGGGGGGGGTCGTACCTCAACCGACATTTCGCACATCCCCATGCTGTACCCAATCCTGAGATCGGGTAGGCGTGGCCGCATGTTTCAACTTAACGTGGAGGTGTCTATGCTTCCGGTGAGATATTTTCATGTTGACACAATTGTTGTCGTGTCTCTGTCCAACACAGAACAAGATGACAGTTGTCCCAGACTGGAATATTCCACGAGTAACCAATTTTGTGCCATGTTCAAATGCCACGCCTACTCTGGCTCAGGGATAAGGAGTATAGATAGCTGAACAGTACACCTTGTACCCTTCGACTGCGGGTGATGGCTCGTGTTCGTGCGACCGCGCTTGACCCGGCGCCAACCTAGCATATCGTTTGTATAGGACGTTTTCTAGCAGTTGGTCTCCTTTATCGGACTCACCCAGCAATTGATGGAGCACGGATCCGGCAGTGTGCGGTTGCCGTTTGCGGATGATTGGGCGGACAAGCCTCATCATCCGCAACGGGCAAGACTGTAAGCAAGTGCGTAGGTTGGCCATGGACCTCCCAAATCCTACAAACACATCTGCTCTCGTAGGCAGCCAATGCGAAGAACTTGAACCATCCCACTACCTCTGCGTGGGAGCATAAGCATAGCTGGAATACGCCCACTTGGAACGCTACACAGAAACGGGTTTTTCGAGCAGCTCGGAGTGTTTCTCAGAAAATCCCCAACGCGATTACCTCATGAATCCCGAAAACTTCGGAAACAATTTAAGCGGTTTTTGGAAGGAGGAAATCTTCTAATATTCGACAATGGTTTTTAGATTGCAACACAGCGGTCTGCCTTTAAGGAAATTATAACCCTTCAAAGACAAGCTGCCTTAATTGGGGGAGGGGGGCCCAGGAAAACGCGCCTCAACGCAAGCAAAGCGCGGACGCGTGAGTAATCGGTATTCAAATGGCATGGCTGACTTCCTCCTACGAATTTGAACACAACAGCCTGTTGGTTGCAGCACAGCATGTAGTGTGGTGTAGATCCATACAGCCATTCTCTCTACTAGGAGTTTCCGAGAAGAACTGACGATTCCTAACTCGCTCAGTTAACATTGCAGTGGTAGAAAATAGTAAATAATCGTTATAAATTTTGTAATTTCCACCTGTTTTGAGTCGGGGCTTATGGCTTTCCATGTTAGCTGAAGTAATACATGTATTAGAACACCGGAGTTCATCTGAACTAGCTCCCGTAAATAGGAGCATTCTCGCTGGGATCCTGTCTTGTGAACCTACGGAATGTTTCGAGTTTCACTTGTACAGAAATTCTTTGGCTGGGTGACGTTCAGTGCTAAGCCAGGGGCAATTTTCAGCTTGGCACTGGTTTTCTTTCATGTAGGTGTTGGAAGAAAATAGGCAGGGATAGCCGAGTGGTTAAGAAAGGCGGCTCGTGTTCGCAACCACGCTGAAGTAGGTCACGAGTTCGATCCCTGCCGAGGCACAAACCTGCCTTGCAAAAATTGCAAAAATGGGGACGATACCAGCGTCAGGCCCAGGTTGACAGGCCGGCTGATGGAGAAACCCGTCACAACAATCATGACAAGTCGCAAAAGTATCAGTGTTAATGCTAGGACGTCAGCGCGGAGTGCGCGCAGTAACCCTCGCCCGAGTTCCTGTGGTCAGTAATGCGAGGGTTCTTACCATTCTAAATGCGCGAGGGGTGAACGACCTCGGCCAAAGAAGCTAGTTCGAATTGGGACCCTGAACGTGGGGTCGCTTACCGGGAAGTCTCGTGAGGTTGCCGACCTCATGAGACGCAGGAATATCCAAGTCCTATGCCTGCAGGAAACGCGATGGAAGGGTGCGAAGGCCCGCGAGATCGGAGAAGGTGTTAAACTCTTCTACAATGGAGCAGACACCAAACGGAATGGCGTGGCCATAGCGGTGGCAGAATCCCTCAAGGACTGCGTCTCTCCGTGAACAGAATCAGTGACCGGATCATGGGAGTGAGAATGGACACGAAGGAGGGGTACTGGACAGTACTGACCGTGTACGCACCACAATCCGGCTGCTCCGGCCAGCGAAAAGATGAAGTTCTACCTGATCCTGGGCGACGCCATAAGATCGGTTCCAGAATTGAGCTATTCCTCACATAAGCTGGGAGATCTGAAATGGCCACGTAGGAGAATGACAGTAAGAGGCTCTAGAAAGGCGTTGCAGGGTCAAGGAATAGGGACAAAAAACGCCGAGGGACAAATCCTTGACCTAGCAACAGCCCACGACTTAGCAATCTGCAGCACCTTCTTCGCGAAAAGGAGGACCTCAAGGTAACCTACAGCAGTGGAGGGAGACAAACGGAAATCGACCACGTTTGCTGCTCAGAAGGATCGTCTCTCAAACGTCAAGGAACTCCAAGATACTGCTGCGGGAAGAGCCATGGCCCGTCAGCACAGACTTGCTCCTCTGGACAGATATCGCGATATGACCTCCCCAAGAAGACGAGGGTGAAAGCAGAGCGAAGGATTCGCTGGTGGAAAATGCGGAACGAGGTAGAAAAGGATAGCCTCGGCCGAAGAATACTGGAGGCTGGGCTCCCAGACCCACATG